AGGAAGTAGGAAAGTATCTTCTCTCATAAGAAGGAGAGCTTTTTCCAAGAAGAGTCAGAGCATGGACAAGTAAAGAGAATGACCCAAACAACCATCGCGTAGGTGAATCTCAGATTTTTTTTTTTATTTCCTAGAGTCTCCTAGGTCTGGATGTTAGAGGAATTAGGTTAGGGTTCTTGTGCTAGACAAAAGCCCCATAAAATTAAGTGTTTTGCGTTCCCCCTATAAATCCAAAGTGCAAAACCTACCCAATTTTAGCCCAAAATCCGAAAGAAGAGGTTGTATAATTTTTGCCATTTGTTGCGATGTTTTTGATTGGGACGGATGTTTGAAACCCACTAATTGAGAAGATGAAGGCATTCCTTAAGTCTTCATCCTCTCGGTTATGGAGTATCTTCTTCGTGAGAGATTTTCCACCTTGTGCCTTGCAAACGAAAGTGGGTATCTTGTTGCTTCGTGTAATAAAGCGTTAGTACATCTCTCCATTGCTTCCCTTAGGATCCCATGAAGCCGCTAGAGTGAGTCTAATTAATCAATGAGGATTATCTAATTTTCATTTCATGCATGTATTTGCATTCATATGGCATATTTGGTATGAATTTTAAAATTGCATAAAAAATACCCACTTTTTGCGTTTGTTATCAATCGGCCGCTACGTTGGCACTTTCGATTATCTCCCATTAGCTCGACTGATCAGCCGCCACCAGACCTACCGATCGGCCGCCACCAGACCTACCGATCGGCCGCCACCGGGCTAATCGACTCGATCGACCATTTCTGTTAGCTCAACCAACCATTCTTCTTCAATCGGCCGCCCATGCTGGCTCGATCGACCACCCTGTCTCCTTGACCAATCGATCATCAACCCGATCGGTTCGATCGACCTTTTTCCGTCGGCTGCCACCGGCCCAATCGATTCGTCTAACCATTCTTCATCGATCAGCTGCCCACGACGACTCGATCGACCCTCCCAATCAATTTGATCTATCAGCCCCCGCCGACCCGATCGTAACAACAAATCATTCTTCGTCAGATCAACCAATCAGTCGCCACCGACCCGATCAGCTCGACCGACCATTTTTTTATCGGTTTGATCGATCGGCCGCCACCGGTCTGACAGTGTCGATCGATTCCACTTGAATGTTGCATTAATGCATGCTTGTTTCATATTGATTGCACGAACACACACACCCATGACCTCATATGTTCATAGTAGGCATCTATGCCCTATTCCAGCACGTTACTTCGTGCTTACCTTGTGACATCCGCATGTCGCCGTACACCGTGCCCCTACGTGTTCGTACTCACACGGGCACGTTTGCAATTATGCTTGCATAGCACACTATATGTTTGCATTTCAAATGCTTGTGGTTTGCACCGGATTCCCTGTTCTCACACACTCATTTTTGGCAATCAATTGTCTTTTTTGGGGACGGCTTGCACATGAAACTTACCCATCCTGTGATTACTTTCCTAGCGAAAATCACACTTCTTCAATTTCTTATGGCACTGCTTCGGACTATCATAGGTGTGTTGCATTGTGTCGCCTCATGGGTCATGCTTCATATCCTCTTAACCCACTCTCCGAGTCATATTTCATAGCCTCCAAACTCGTCTGAGACGCGATGCTCTTCCACTCGGGCATATGACTCACCGTGCATTAGTAGATAATGATATTTGTACTTTATTTGATTTATATATTTTCCTTTATTGGTCACATTGCAAGGAATGTCTGAAGCCACTTAATATCATGCATTGATGTATGTTATATATAGTATATTGAATTGAATGTGATTAGCACATGAATGTTATATTTATGTCAACTGCTTGTATGCATATGCTGACTATGATAGTCACCTCTTTTGGTACTAGTGAGGGAACAATAAGGTATCATGTTGTTTATGAAAAAGGATATTGATATTGATGTGTTTTAATTGATGCAATTTTTAGACGATGATCCTGTGACGGTTGTATAGATACAAAATGATATTGGTATGATATTAATATAGTAAGATTCCTTGATATTATTAAAATTGTTGTTCTGATATTGGTATGATATTAATATAGTAAGATTCCTTTTATTAAAATTGTTGTTCTTGATTCATTAAAATTTTAACTGACATGCATTTTACTTTCGTTTTTCTTTTATTGATTTAGTTTAGGAGTATGAGTAGTGACTGACTTGTTTTGCTGACTGTTATTTTCAAACTAATTTTTTAAGTGAATTTTTAAGTGATTAATTGATGAGCAATAAACTGGAAAACAATTATGGAAGATGCAAACAACTAATAATGATGTAATTTTAAATATATTGTTTTAATTTAACTTTATTAGTGACTCTTTCATTTGTAAAATATTATTTATAGCAAATAAATATAAAAAAATTGTTTTCCGCCGTCTGACTGCCTGTTTCCATCTTAGTTAATTCCGAGCCACTGATCGGGTCGTGATAAAAGAACTATCAAAGCCAAGCTTTAGGATTAATTAAAATGAAAGAACCGAAAGAATAAGTTTACAAAAATTTTAAATTATAAAAAAATTAAAGTTAACTCAGTAATAATTAGTATTCATTCAGACATAATAATAGACCCAAAATATTAGGAGAGAATATGATAGAAAACGAAGAAGTATAACCAACTAAAAAGGTTAACATGAATATCCTCACCCAAATAATGATGATATTGACTCAGCTGATTCAGGAGTCCAGATCGCAACCTATAGGAAGTGAGAGTCTCTGTAGATAAGTACTTTAAAGATATTTCAAGATCTGCACCAACTTTGTTCAAGGGAATTGAAGACCCAATTAAAGTGAAGAATTGATTAATGAGAATAGAGAAAATACTACATAGCATGACTTGTCCGGAAGACAGATGAAAGTAGAATACAGTTGGCAACGTTTGTACTGGATGGAGAAGCCAAATGGTGGTGGCGTGGGCACATTAGGACAGGTTAAGGACATACCAAGCACGACGATTAGTTGGAAGAAATTCGTGGAGCTAATCAGTGAATTATTTGTACCTCTATCTGCTCGACGACAGAGTCACGACAGGTTCATGAAGTTGAGGCAAGGTTTGAAGACAATTATGTGGTATGAAGCTGAACTCACTGCACTATCGAGTTATGCACCACAGTTGATCGCTATTGCAGAAGAAAAGTGCTACAAATTTCTTTCAGGATTAAAAGATTTGATCAGACAACCGTTGGTACCTTTAGTAATCGATGAATATTTAGTATTAGTAGAACAAGCTAGAAGAGTAGAGATCGACTATCAACTTACTCGGAAGTGTAAGGATTTGCACAAGACGAAGACTGCAAAAGACATGTAGATCACTCAGAAAGATTCAATGAGAAGAAGTCCAAGAAGAATTTGGGTAGAGTTAGCAGATGTACGACTCAGGGTTCTAAAGTCACTTGTGTCAAATACGGAAAACAACCTAAAAGTGAATGATTGATGGGCTCTAACACTTGCTATTGATGTCGTCGCTCTGGTCATATATCAAGATATTGTCCATTGCTTGGCCAAAAGAGCACTGAAAATCAGAAATCAGGTTGTCAAATACGGAAAACAACCTAAAAGTGAATGATTCATGGGCTCTAACACTTGCTATTGATGTCGTCGGTCTGGTCATATATCAAGATATTGTCCATCGCTTGGCCAAAAGAGCACTGAAAATCAGAAATCAGGTGGAGTTCTTTCACAGAAGACTGTAACTGGATAGAAAAGATCGAGGGCAAAAAAGATCGAATCTACAGCTTCAGCTCCTACCCAAGGTCAACCAAGGCAATTGGTTCAACCTCGAGTATATTCCCTTACTCATAGTGAGTCTGAAGAAACTACTGTCGCAGATGGTGATGAGGTCTAAAGAGTTTGGCATTTTCTTATATAGGGTGTTTTTCCTAGCATACTTCCTTGCTTCAGTAGTTGTGCATTGTTATATGAAGTATAATTGAGTTTCCTTGTATCGATTCTTTACCTCTATAGTGGTTGCTTTTCATCTTAATGAATGACACTAGTCTCATAGATAGCTAATGTTGACTTGCTTGAGGTAGGGTTATAAATTTCTAGGATGAAATTTTTTGTAAGTGGGAACGATTATAACGTGTCATTTCCATTTATCTAGAAGATGAATTGAAACATCGAACAAAGTGGGGCTAGGAAATGAAGAGCTGAAGAAAAGGAATCGAGAAGCTCGACAAGCAATGAGGGGAGAGAAGCAATAAGGTCGAAAAATCAAACATGTTGGTTCACCTATAATTTTGTCGTGAGAGAGGTAGGAACTTACCTGAGAGTTAAGCGACACGGGAGACGTCAAACGTAGCGTCAATGTTTAACAGAGGAGGACCACGCGAGAAAAGAAACAACACAGCAGATCTCGTGCTCGGGAAAAGAAGAAGATCGCAGCTTTGCGCTACTATGTCGAGTCGAGTCTAGTTGAAGAGAAAGATGGAGGAGATTCCTTGTATGTGTAAGACTCTGATCTTGCCTTAGCCGAGCGCCGAAGAAGACTCTGACTATGATGAAGTAACCCCTTGATGATACTGGTGGAGGAACACTAAGATACCTAATGTTGGTGATATCTAGCTTAATAAAAATGTGCTTTTGTTTCTGCTAAATTCTAAACTAGTTCTGGTATCAATATGCCTAATGTTGGTGATATTTTCTAATGAAAATCTATATTACTTAGGCTTCGATAAGTGGGCAAAATATAGTAGTTTCTCAGGAGATGAAACCACACATTAATTAATTTGATTTTATGTTTACTTCCTGATGCTTTAAATTTTTTGTGCGCCTTTTAATGTCTGAAGTTCATAACTTCTTGCATTATAGAGAGTGACACTACAGTCTGTTCACTTGAATGTAGATGGTCAAAATTTACAGTTCTTAACTTTGTACAGTCTGTTCACTTGATCACTGAGCCAGGTAAAGCTCTTACTATATTGAGTGAAAGGTCATACATCCTTTTACACAGTGTGAATATTTTGGGATTGCTTATGCTTACCAATGTAGGTATTCTCTATTAGCTGGATTGGTTGGACTTGGAGCATCTGGATCCACCATCACCTGATTATTATATGATAGAACCCTTAGAAAACTTAACAGCATGGGCAATGATTAAAGAAAGATTTGGTTGGAAGACTTAAAGAAGTTAAAATATTGTATAAAATAATAGTACTTTCAACTTGCAGAACCTCATGTTCTATAATATCGAACACTTTAGTTTTAGGAAAAGTTTGGAATAGGATTTAGGAAAATTTTGGAATAGGATTTGTAAAGGAATTGAAAATAATTTTATCGGAGAATATGTATTTTTGCTGTTGCTGTGATGAATAATGTTTACTTTGATGGTGATGGGATCACACTACTGAAACCTTTGCTGGATTGGAAGCTTGGGTCACAATCGGTACCTAACTATAAATAGAAGCAGCAGCAGCAGGCCTTGGCGAAGATGGTCCTTATTGATTAATTCAGGTTTGAGTTTTGTCATAATTCTCGCCTGTTTAGAATGTTATAGTAGCAGTCCAAAGAATTTCTAAGCTTTATGTTTATTTATGTCTGCTTATTTATGTCTGCCTTCTTATAAATTTGCACCTCATGCAATCTTGGCAATCAGCGCAAAAGTCCAAGAAATTTTATACTTACATTTTATTTTGTTAACCTAATTCTTCAAATTACTAAAATTTTCAGAGACCTCTATAAATGTGGTAAAATAAATTTTCAAATACCCTTAAGAAAATATCTTCCCACCTCTACATATGCGATAAAATAAATTTTCTTATTAATTTGCAGAATTGGGCCTCTATAAAATGTATGATAGCTTGTGATATCTTTGAAGGTTGTTTTAGATTAAAAACATTCTCTATGACCATTTTTCACTTGAGATATATCATACATTTTAGTATTTATTTCTTCTAGCTGAGCCTGCAGACAAGTATCTGCCCACTTTTTTATAATTGCTGTACTAAAGTCTGAAATTTTTTAAGACATGAATTTGGTTTGATGGTCTATCCACATGGTAAAAATGTTTTCTTTTAATTGCTTTCCTTCAAAAAAAGATTTATTGTTTTTGTTATTAAAGTTGTTTAGGTGAAAAATACAATGATACTTCTATTTAATGTAATTTATCTGGAAAAACATAATTGCATTTTCAATATACTGACCAAGGATCAAAGTTGCCAAGGATCAAAGTTGGCAGAATGGCTTAAGGAAACTTGTCACTTTATGCAGGATGAATATCAAAATCTTGAGAAAAAATTGCGTATGTAAGACGTACGCAGCGCTGCGTACGTCAAGTAGGTTACAGGGAGGGTATTGAGGGTTATATTCGCGTTATACCCCCTGTAACCTCCCTGTAACCTACCTGTAATCTACCTGTAACTTAGAAATATATGAAAACAAAAGTGCGAAACTTACTAGTTACAGGTAGGTTACAAGTGGGTTACGGGGAGGTTACACGGGGTATAATGGGGATATAACTCTCAATACCCTCTATGTAACCTACCGGACGTATGCAGCTCTGCGTACGCCTTATATACGCAAATATTTCTCCTTTATACCCACACCACCACACAGTATTGCTATATGGAAACTTTTTAAACAAATCGACTTACCTCTAGGCAAACCGTACACACACATATATATATAATACGTACAAGTGTGTAGAGAGTCTGCTCATCTTCACCATCAACCTCTACCCTTGGAGGATTTACCACTGCTGACTGTCTTAGTCCAGTGCCATTGTTGATCTCCTTATTGTTGTATACCACCCTCAACATTGCTGATCTAACAAATGGATCCAGCACATCACCTACCACCTGCCCGAGCACAAGTGGATCCCTTCCATGCATCATGATTGGCTTCAATAAGCACTAGAATAGTACCAAACTAGTCGAATTAATCAATTTGGTTGATAATGCAGTGAAAGGCTGTTAAAGTATTACGTATATATAGTTAGAAAAATGGTTCATGGCATCTACTTTATGTTCACATTGTGTTACAATGGCTACTACATTTCAAGTGAGCATTGGAATCTACTTTTGTCTTCTGATCTTTTGATCCTTTCTGGATGGTGAGGCTAAGGACCAAGCTGGATATATGAGCCTCCCCCTGCCAAATCCTTCACCAAATCATTCCCCCAAATAGCACCACACCTTGGAATTCACTAAAGGCATTAGGCTTATTTGCCAGTAATGGCCATATCTTGCTGATCTTCATTCTCATGCAAAGAAGATTCAGGATTGGCAGTTCAAGTTTTGTTTTGAGGAACCCAAAAGTATCATATATTGCACACTTTTTGATATTGTTGATCAGGCTTGGCTTATGGCAAGTGCAAGCTCATTTAGTTATTTATGCACGTGTCGAACAGCTCTAGGACACGTTTTGTTTACAGGAGAGGAATTTGACAATTTTGTCCATATTGTTTATGGTTTCCTGAAATGTTACAACCAACAAAGAAGATGCTTTGGGGACTCATTACATGATATTTAATTGTTGGATGGAGTGTTGATCATGTGATGATTCTTGTTGTGCTTTAGTTTGTTATTGTATCTCTCTTTTTTTTTATTTGTGATGTCTGTCAAAGGTATATATTAGTGAAGTTATATGTTATATTTCTAACTATGTAGAAACTGCATGATTTTGAAAACGTTTATGCTTCATGTGGCCCACACTTCAACGAAATACACTCCAATCTCATCATTTTTGAAAAGGAATTTTTTAGTATGGATATTTTTCATTTGCCACGTTTCTGCCTGACAACGCAGGATATGTTCTCTCCCCATCTTGTTTCTTTTTTTTTTTTTTTAATCTTTATTTAATGTTATCTTTTGCTGGAGATTAATTAAGGACAGCATGATTCTGTTGAAGGCATTTTGAATGAGAATATTTTTATCTGAAACTTCGAAGTTCCTTGCATTCTGATTATATATAGCCAACTTTTAGCATCAGCCTTTTTCATTCGGTTTCTTGGTATACAATTTCATGGAATCTGGATTATGCTGACTGCACCTAGACCACAAGAGACAGAGAAGTGCATAAATTTCAAATTAAGCAGACTAATGTTTTAATTTCTTCACCACCGTTAGCTGCCTTTTCTTATTATAGTACCTGCATCGTTTTATGGGTGAGTTGGGTTCCTAGCTGAGCGAGGAGGGACAGAGCAAATGAAGAGAGAGATAGAGAGAGAGAGAGAGAGAGTTGACAAAATAAAGTAAAGTGAGGCCTCAAAGCCATATTATCCAGCTTAAAATGTGGTCCAATAGTTCCGTGGTATCTGTCACTTCCTCCTCCACAGACTTCATTTATTCCTCAATGCTTTCTCTGTGTAGAACTTTACGTTTATGAATCTTTAAAGGTATTGTTTGAAAATAATAAATAAAATGATTTGCTTGATGCAAAATGCTTAAAAGTTGTCGATGCTTCAGATGAAAGAGAAATGATGCACTATGAAGACTTCAGTGCTGAACTAGCGAAATGCAGAACTGGTGAAGTTAATTATTCCATCAAAGACTCAAAAGTAATAACTAAAGATAATTGGCTTAGATTCCTATCACCTTCACCTTTTGGAGGAAAACAGTGAAGCCCTTGCTAAAGAGAAACCATTTCTAATAGGGTAAGATATATCTTCTGGGATCAGTTCTTTTACTTATCAATTTCACCTATTAGTATGCTCAGAAACCAATATTTGCAGAAATTTCAAAATATGAATGCCATGATATCATTTCAATCACAATTACAGACCTTCTGGTAGATATAGTTTCCTTTAATCAATCTATTTGATATTGTTTGCTAATTCAATTGGCTCTAACCTAAAAACTGAAGAATTTTGTCAAAATTGATTTTTTTCTTGTTTCTCCTAATTAAACAAGTCAGTTGTGGCCAATTCGCTTGATGCAGGCTTCTCTGTGGCCATCGTAGTAAGCATTAAGTTAGACTCTATCTCCACTCTTGTGCTTAAGAGCATTGTTTTTAGAATCAATAACCGCATGTTTGTTAGAAGAAGCTTAATAGGCGTTGTTTAGCTGGTGGAAGAACTTATAAGGTTTTGGCAATGGTTCTTATTTCATTGCTGTAAAGCTTAGATTAGTAAAACATGACTTACGTCTCACTAGAATATAAATTAAGAAAATGGAAGAGCAATTCCATTTGGCTTTAATGTTATTCCTCTTTTTCTTAGAAAAAGGGTGGACAGTCATGCTTAGATAAAGAAGAAGAGAATACTTTCAAACTAAGCACAATCGATGTTATCATGTATGAATGAACTAAAAGAGAATTTCACATCTTTCATATATATGTGTGTGTATATATATATATATATATATGTATATGTATATATATTCCTAGTGGAATTAAGGAAGAAGAAAATAGTGTTGGAATTTTTAGACATTGTTGCAACAGTAGAAAAATTGCCACAAGGATCGCGTGTCTTCTTCTAAATGATGCCATTGGTGACATGATGCATGCTTTTATTTCCTTTTCAGCATGCTTTTGGTGAATACATTCTCTGTATATTTAATATATTTATCAAAATATTTAAGCATGGGAAGATATTATCCTTCTCTTTTGTGGCTTGAAAGGTGAAGTATATCTGACTTTATTTATTTATTTTCTTAAAAACCCAGAACCCTGTAGTGAGAGTACTAGGATCCCTTCTCTAGTTTCTTATTTTTCCTTTTCTCTTTTAGTTTGGGTTTTATTAAGTACCCTCATAAAGTTCGCTACTGTGATAGAAGGAAAATTACAAGCCCCAAATACAGTCAACAAATAGTAGAAGCAATGAATTCTGCGTGAAGGGGATGCTGAACTTTGCTCAATTGTCATGCCCCTCTCTTCTTCTCTTCAACTTCTTCCTATCATGGACCCAACCTTTATTGCCTCTTCTTTTCCTCTTTCAATTTTGGGGCATCACCTGATCAGCATCTTTAAACTAGAAAAACTTAATGAATTTATATTTCATTAAAAATGCAAATTTCTCTCCCTTGCATCCTCTCAGATGATAATGGAGTTACCTTCTATAGAATTGAGATTGTTGAAGTGGAGAAAGATTGGAATATGGCTCTTGTGGATGTGGTAGGCCGCCGGCCTTTCTACAGTAGCAATTTTCAAATTGCTCGTTCTCTCTAAAAATGCATCAATCACGTCACCTTTATCTCCACTATTGAAGATTTTGTTCTCTTCAATTTTACATGTATCAAAAGCCTAGAGTTGGTGAATAATGAAGGCCGTTGGTTCTTTTTTGATTGGCCTTTCATTTTTTAGAATTAGACTCTTAACATTAAGTTGTTTAAGATTAATTTTATTGCTATTTTTTTGAATTAAAATCCCAAATCTCTCTCTATATTACCATTATGAGAGTGGTACCTCTAAGATTGCTAGTAAAATTGACATTTCATTGGCTTTTGTGCTTTGTGTCTTTCAAATTCAATTTTATCTTTGTTAAAAGTAACAAAGAAATCAAGTATCCACTCAATTTCTATTTCAGGCTATATAGTTTATTAGAATTATGATATATTTGCTTATGACAGTGCATACTACCTCCATAATCCAAATGCCCCACGACAACAGCCTCTATCTCGTGTTTAGGAGCACCACTCATATTAGAAGGGCTATTTGTAAAAGTGTTAGTATCTCTACCTCTTCTAAACAACAGAACCCCAACCCTATCATTACTTCTGATCTTAACCTTCTCACTAATACAAGCACATCCTTCTCCTTCACTATTACCTTGGAACCTCCTATAATTGTTATTCTACTCTAGAACCCTCTCCAACTAAAAAAAATCATAGATTTCAATATTTTAGTTATAGATTCTCATATTACTATCAACTCCTCTTTACTAATAATATTGGATACTCTTTTTGGTGTTTTAGATATTTCTTTAATGTGTTGGTTCTATTAAAAATAAGCTTTCTTAATCTATCGAGGATTCTACAACACCTTTAAACAGTAAGAAGACGAGACTTAAAATTCAATATTTCACTCAAAATTAGCTTTTTTTTATGAATTATATCTCTGTTGTGTGATGGAATATTTGAAGTTTGACTAAGAATTTGAGAGTTGTTGTTTGTTTAAATTTTGTCTAGTAGTTATATTTAATATTATTGCCTTTCTTCGAGCTAAAATCAGTCATGATACACATTTAATATGAGAAATTTTATGATCTTCCAAGATAAAGACAATCGTAATAACTTCAAATTTCGTTCAAGAGGCAAATTTTGAGTTAATTATAATTCTGACAATGTTAGTCTCATTGAGCTCATCTCTCATCCGCAATTCTTCATGTTTGTCTCCAATATTCACCTTCTATCAAGTTTTTAATCAATTTTATTTAAGCTAAAAATAGAGCTTTGGAGAGGAAGCCATAAAGGAGGTCATTACTTCTACTGTCGATCATATAATTATCATTCAACTTTTTTCAGGGATTTCAACTGTATTGCTTGCTAAAGAAAAGTCTAGTGAAACAAAGGTTGTCATACCAGGTTTTTGGATTTTAATAACTGCATTGCTAATTTCTTTTTGTTTGAACTCTGTGATAAAGGTTTCTCTTGTAGTTGGTTCAATCATCAAATTAATAATTCCATCCATTGTCTTTATGGTAGACCTCTATGCAATATTCCTTACCATGATTGCTTCCCTCTTACATAATAAATATTGTACTCCTCTCTCCTATGATCATTTCTAGATTGTATTGATGATGGAAAATTTTTCACTTATCAAATAAAAATTTTGTATAATTATTAGGTTACACAATTGTACTGATATCGTTTCTAATGTTTAGAGCCTAAATGTCAGTGGAGACTCCGTCTTTGCCTTTTATAATAAGCTTGCCAACATTAAGATGGCTTTTAAAAATTTAACATGTTTCATCCAAAAGTTATCATTAAGAAAATTTCTAAACTTCCAAAAGACCAAATAAGCATTTATAAACTTCTAGATGTCAGTGTCAAGTAAGGATTTACTATTTGGATCTTTACAAATTAGAGAAGCGCTTAACCTTGCATAGTTCATAGAATTTAAATTGTTCAA